TACAAATGTCAATACAGTTCAACTGTATGGGGAGGAAACCTGAAAAACTACAACAGCAATCATCCAGAAGATACATGTGTTTATTATTAGTTGTCTACACAAAATACTTCGGATCCATTGGCCAGATACTATTAGCAACAATCGACTGTGTGAGATAACAAACTAGATTACAGTAGAGGAAGAAATTAGGAAGAAGCACTGGAAGTGGATAGGACACATTGAGGAAAGCACCCAACTGCGTCACAAGTCAAGTCCTCACATAGAATCCCCAAGGTCAAAGGTGGGGCGGATGACCAAAGAACACATTAGGCCGATAAATGGAGACAGACATGAAAAGAATGAACAAGAATTGGATCGAACTATAAGGGAAGTTCGAGGACAGAGTGAGTTGGAGAATGCTGGTTGGCAGTCTATTCTTTATTGAGAGTAACAGGCGTGACTATTTATATCCAGTTTGTGTTGAATAGATGAAAGGAAAACTATAAAAAAAATATACTGGATACCTCATATATATATAGTGAAGATTGAAAAGCAAAGTCACTTACACATACCCAATCTCATAACCACCATTTTGATGACTTAAACATTAAGGTCAAATGTTTTAAAACAAAACAGATAAACAAACAAATATTTAGGTCATTAGTGTGCCAATTTTCCTCTTCTTTGGGACTATATTTATTGAGTTCATTTGTAAATTGTTTCATAAATTCATGGGTTAATGGTAGAGGGTTATTATTATTATTATTATTATTGTTATTATTATTATTATTATTATTATCAGTATTTGTATAATTTAGAAAATCATTTCTGATCTAGGAAGTATTGAACAGCTGTTTTAGTCCCAGTACAAGACTTGTCTTATGGTCACCTCATTATGTAACTGATTACATTCAAAGATCAGTGTAGGATTGTGGAGCTTGTCAAGCTTTTTTTCTTTTTTTTGATGGTAGATATTAACACCGTTCGTTGCTGGCTCAGTAGTCTAGAGGTAAAGCGTTCACTCACGAGACCCAAGGCCTTGGGTTCGAATTCCACAAGCGGGATCGTGGATGACCACTATTGAGGAGTGACATACTAGAGTGAAACGGCCGTCTGGTACTTCCGCTTTTCCAATGGTGGTCTGAAATCGATCGATTCATTCTCTTAAACAAGAAATTCAAAGATGTCTACTAACGATTTACACTAATCATCACTATTACTATTATATGGAATTTAACGATTTAGTGGAAAGATTACAAACACTTCACAGTTGTTTCTTTACCTTTCTTGTAAAAAAAGGTTCAATGTTTAAGTATTTCAGTGTAGTTATACTTGTCCTTCCATCTCATAGTTATGTTGTTGACTTTTAAAGCTATACGTATTTCATTCTAGTCTCAGGTAGAATATCCTAGTTACTAATCAAATCAATAATCTAAATATACAAACCGCTCCACATCTAACCAAAATGTATTTCATTTAATACTTTCTATTTTCATGGCTATAAAGTAGTTACTAATCAAATACTGTGAAGAAACCAATGAAATATGTTCCTTTTTGATCTCACTGATCATTCCATTGATCGACAGTACCTATCAACAACTAACAATAACCAGCTCAGTGGTGTTGAGGTTAAGCACTCGCGCGCTCAAGTTCAAACGAGTCTGTTGTCAAATAGTAACTCACTGATGACACTGGTGAATGTGTAGCTCAATTTCGTGGATTAGTTAAAGCTTGATATTAACACCGTTGGATACCGGCCGGCTCAGTGTTATAGAGGTTAAGCCCTCGCGCGTGAGACTGATAGGTCATGGGTTCGAATCTCGCGAGTTGAAGTCGTGGATGCGCACTACTGAGGAATCCCATACTAGAACGAAACGGCCATCCAGTGCTTTTTTACGTTTTGTTTTAGCCTACTGAATTGAAGAATGAAGGATCATTGTTATACTGATTACTTATTACTTCAATTTATTAGGGGAAAAAAGAACAACAACAACAGCAACAACTAACATATAGTACAAAGTAGACTAGACAAGTCATATGACATCTTAAATTTACTTAATAAATTAAATGGGATATATAAGTAAATTATATGTAAATTATTTCATTAGTTGAAATCATGAGTCAATTGAAGCTAGACAACCATGAAACACCTAGAAGCACTGGATGGCCGTTTCGTCCTAGCATGAGACTCCTTAGCAGTGTGCATTCATGACCTCTCCTCGCGAGATTTGAACCCGGGACCTATCAGTCTCACGCGCGAACGCTTAACCACTAGATCACTAAGCCGGATATAGTTAGTTGTTGATAGGTACTGTCGATCAATGGAATGATCAATGAGATCAAAAAGGAACATACTTCATTGGTTTCTTCACAGTATTTGATAAGTAATTATTTTGTATCCATGAGACTAGAAAGTATTAAATGAAATACATTTTGGTTAGATATATATATAGATTATTGATTTGATTAGTAACTAGGATATTCTACCTGAGACTAAAATTTAATCAAGATCACACACACATACTTACGCACGCACGCACGCGCCCACGTACGCACACACACACATTCATACATACTTATGATGAGATTAGAATTTATTTGTATCCTCAATAATACAGCAGATGCATCAAGTTAATGAGTCCCGTGTAGGACGAAACTTGAGTCCTGAATTCTGCTACTAAGCATCGTCTATCATTGAATGAATTTCAGTGAATTTCACAATACAATACTTAATTCCTTTAGGGGATTATTATTAGTAGTATATTATATTGCTCAATAAATTATATTGTTAAGTAGATAGTGTAATTGTAGGCAGTTCATTAGGACCGAATTGATGTGAACAAACTTACTGTTAGGTATGTAAAGTATCTTAATAATATTTTCATTCGATGTTACAGTATAGAATGGATCAAAACTTTTAATCAAGATCATTTCAAGGTCAAATTTACAATGAATAGGATCTATTTACAGTAAGTATTTGTAAAAGAAGATACTTACAATCGGACAAAACTGGACAAAATTTTCAAACTTCTATCCACTAACTTATAAATATGATGAAATCAAGTCGTTGAAAAGGAGGAATTAAGAAGTAGATTTAAGTAGTATACTTTACACTGCTAATATATTCTACATGATGTTCAATACAAGAAATCATACTAAATACATATCATAATCAACTGTATATATCGATTTACAAGTGATAACATCGATGAATAGGTGAGTATCTATGGAATTTGTCAACTACAAACCTCAAAAGCCTTAGTCAGTCAGTTAATCAGCTACGACGTAGGATCAGGCACATATATGCATCGGTCCAAGTTGCCATACCACACTAGCACAACAAGATAAACACAGGATTCATAGAGGTAGTTAATTCAATGGTAGTAATATATGAAAGATTTTGTATAAGGATATAATACAGGAAGAACGATTTAATACGTGGAAATAACGATATGAAGCGATTTTAATCTCATAGTTTAAAGGAAGACAAAGTGTGTATACACCTACACAATTGTGGCTGATTCTGAAGCAAGTCTCCAACCATTGATTACAATAGTCACGCGGACCCCAACCAAGTTACCTGCAAATCAGATCATAAACTATCACAGTTTATTGATTCTTATTTTGATCAACTTTGAAATGATGAATATCTATTTGTTTCTATGTTTGATACTGAAATTGATAAGAACGAATTCACTTACATGCATACATGCACACATACATACCTACTACATACAAACATGGACACATAGATATGGACATATATAATGATGATTAATCTCAATGGTTGAGATCATGAGTTAATTGAAGCTAGATCATCATGGAAAATCTGGAAGCACTGGATGGCCAATTCGTCCTATGATGGGGCTCCTTAGCAGTGCGCATCCACGACTTCACCTCGCAAAACTTGAACCCAGGACCTATCAGTCTCGCACACGAGAGCTTAGCTATTAGACCACTGAGCCGGCCGGCATCCAACGGCGTTAATATTTAGTTTCAACTAATCCACGAAATTGAGCAACACATCGAATCCTGCGAGGAGGGGTCATGGATGCGCGCTGCTGAGGAATCCCACAATAGGACGAAACGGTCGTCCAGTACTACCAGGTTTTCCATGGTTGTCTAGATTCAATAGACTCATGATCTCAAATATTGAAATTATCACGATCTTCACAAAACCCCTTCTGATGATAATTAATCTGTTTTTGTATTATTCAGGTGGAAGTTTATTAAATGAGAAGTGAAAATTAATAAATCTTTTATATCACCATGATTATTTCAAATTTAGTACTCAAAGGTAAGTCTAGAAAGACAGTGAAATTTTTATACTGAAATCATCTAACATATAAGTTCACAATTTCAACAGAAATAATCTACTTAGAGATAAGATGAATTGAGGCGGTGAAGAAGATTTGTAACTCAGGTGGATGATTTTGATGGAGTTTAGTTCACTGAACTGAATGATTTGTTTGTGGAGCTTTCTTCGTTCTTCTGAACGAAATCATCAGCACAAACTTCAGGTAGAAGTGAAGTGTACGAATTACTCGAATGATGAAAGCTCCATGACTAAATCATCCAGTTCAGAGAACAAAACTCCATCAAAATGATGTGTAGTTAATAGAAAAATTCAGGAAACAACCGGATTGGCCGGCATCCAAATGTTAATACTATCATTGAAACTCAATACTATACTCTTCATACATATACTAATAATAAATTCAATCGTGAATGTAGAAGAAAAACGGGATGAAAACAATTCTTGTCACATATTGAACTCAAGGAATCAATTATGAACTACTTAGCAATTGTATTGTTCTAGTTAATTAGACCACAATTGTGATTTGTTAACGATCTGGTTTCGATTCTTGACATGATCATGTATGAATAAGGTCTAAGCTTTATTAAACTCACTATTTCCATTAAAATAACATTGACCATGTCAACCATTGAAACATGATACATGTACAGCAATGAATATATATAGACATATATATGCTTTTAAATATTACAATCAGACTTACCGTACAATATTATAGTCTACACAATCTAAATCTTCCGCTAATGGTAAAGGTAACCTGGATCCAACATGTATTCCTTCTGAAACATGGATTGTATATTGAGGATTTGGAAATTTTGGTGCATTATCATTGATATCAATTAGTTTTATGTTAATTGTAAAAAATTTTGAACGTGAACTACTACTTACAACATCAGCAATATTACCATTACTACTAATACTACCTATACTACTAATATCAGCGATTGCAGTATCAGTAATAATGGATGATCCTTTGTCGACTGAATGTTTAGAAATGGTGCTACTACTACTATTAATACTGTTAGTAGTAGTAGTAGCAACCGTATCATCTTTACCAGTTCTTGTCTGTACAAGTATATTCAGTGGGAAAATACATTCCTTTCGACGATTTATACAACATGTTCGTAAAGAATCCGGTATAGACGAGGTATCAGTCATGAGCATTGCTTGATTACATAATTCTTCACGATCAATATGTTGACTTGTATACAATGTATAATTATTTGGATTAATATTAAAATATTTTGCCATAGGATTTGCTGTTGTAATAATTTTCATACTGATGAATAATTTCTCGGAATTTTTTATTTGAATCATTTGTATACTCGATAATGATGATGATGATGATGAGGATGCAGATGAGGGTGATGATAATGATGATAATAATTGGCATGTATTTCCATTAGTTTCATCAAGTAAATTATATTGAGCTGGTGTTTCATCATAGACTATACAATTATAACTAAGTTGAATTAATTCTGTACCTAGAACTGGTGTTATTGCTGACGGTGATGAGGATGACGATGAAGATGACAATATTTGTGTGTAACGTGGTAAACGATGAATCAAATCCATCTGTGTTTCCATATTGAAAATGTTTCCATCAGAATTAAATAATAAATTATGCTTATTATTATTATTATTATTACTACTATTACTTGTTGCCATGGTGACATGATTTGCTTGTATCATTTTGAAAATCCATATATTCGATAAGAAAATCACGAATTGACATAAAAAATATAAAAAATTATTTATTTGTAAATAAAACTTGAAATGAATTAATAACATAATTAATCAATGAAAATAAGAATAATAATTCTCATTTCAAAAAAATAAATAAATAAATAAATAATTTCCCTTGGAAACTGGATCAGTTTAATTGAGCGGTATTTTCATTTTATTTGTAATTATATGATACAGTGCAAATGATTTTGTATATGTGTCTGTATGTGTTGGTGTGTGTGTATAGTATGTTTGTAGGTGTGTGTGTGTGTGTGTGTGTGTGTACACCAGACAGATGGAGGGTAAATGTACCATTTTTCCCAATTTAACAATGTCGTTTTAGTGAATAATAAATAAATAATTCAATTAATGTACTACTAGTAACCATGTCTATCTGTAGTGTGTATCCATGTATAAGTATCCAAGTTGAATGAAGTAAAACAATTTTGTATGTATAATGATAATTGACTTTGACTATAGAATTGTTATATCAATAGAGATAATATTAATAAGCATCTAACTGTCATATATATTCATCGCCATCATCGTCAACGGCATCATCGTTATCAATATCATCGACATAAGTGATTTTTATTTTGTTTATTTTATTTGTCTAATATACTCTAGAGGTAGATAGATAGATAGATAGATAGATATAGATATGTCGTCAACTTGGTGGTATATACAATCTCGTAGATGAAACAGTTGACTTTTCGCTCCATTTACTGCAATTTATCCTTCTTGTCATACATATATATGTATTAACCATGATGGTAGACAGGTATGTATCCCTATATTACACACACACACATACAGAGACCTCTAAACGAATGAACCTTCAGATAAATCCCTATTTGCTTGTATGTGTACGTATCTATAAATGTAGATGTACGTGACATGAATTAACCCATTAGTAGTATTTACATATTCACACAATACACAAATACAATCATGATTGTGACATTTTTCATTGGATATTTCATAAGTTACATTGGTCTAATGAATTTTAAATCTAAATGAATTTCAAGTTTAGAAATGGGAAAAAAAGATTAGGGTTATACATGATGGGAAAACTGTACATTTTAGTAGACAAGGAAGTTAGAATGAAAGAAAAAACAATGACTTTATATTCATGAAATTATAGAAGAGTTGAATGGAATAAAACAGTTGTCTTATGTAAAAATAGGACGAAACGCTGGTTAAATTGGATTCCACTGTTAGTCACTATCCATCTTTGTTTATAAAAGCTTATGATTTAAGGCAATATTAAGACAATTCACAGAGGATGCACATATACTATCATGAGATTGATCAATTGAAGATACAAGTAAAAGCGGCATCAAGTGAAAATCAATTCTATTTGTAAACTATGTTAACAAGTTTGACGAAATGATTCACATAATGATTGGTAATTACGTCGTAGTATCGAACTATTCAACAGTGCATATTCATGATTGTACAAGCGGATATAGAACTCAAAACCTAAGCCAGTATTAAACGGTATTACAGATTAACTTCATTCAATATATGATTTTATGTAACTATTCATCTATTGGATGTGACGGCTAACTGTCTTGCACCCGACATGGATTGAACTTTATTCATCACAGCTTCCCGCTTATATTTGTTAGGCAGTTTAATGACTATCTGAAGTCAATAGCTCAATGAATAAAGCGTCGAGTATTTTAAAGCATCATTTACTTGGTTAGAGTATAAGTGTTCACATGAAGATTGGTGTGAGACTGTAATTCATGGACGAGATAATCAGAAGCGTTTATGACATTTCAAGGTCACGGCGCCAACTTCAGTGCTTAATGGTAACATACCATCGATTCATAGGGAATTTTGTACAAAACGTGGTAATTGAGAGGCTGTAACAAATAAAACAGCGAGACTATAATTTGTGGACGAATCAATCAGGTATAAGATAATAGATCTCGGATTTTAATGCGAAAACCTTTCATCTATTTGGCTAAATAAATTTCTGGCATTATAGCTTATGTCAGTTCGTGATGAAAACCCTATATATAATTCCTAACTAAGGCAAATTATGACAATTATTGCGAACTGGATAATAAAAGCACCAGTAACACTGGCTGCAGCCAGGTACTACAATATATACGGATGTTTGGAGAGCGTACAGAGTCCTACATAGGCTTGGTTATGTGCATCGTGTCGTTATCCACAAGTAGCATTTTGTGTACTCAACAACCGGAGAGCACACAAACAATATTGAAGCTATGTGGTCAAGACTGAGAGTTTTTGCGAATTTATCATGGCTCCAGAGGCCGACTATTCCGTAGCCATATGAATGATTTCCTCTACTGCATGCATAACGATTTTAGAACCTCTGAACCTCTTTTTAACATTGACAAGTTTTTGAACCACGTATAAGAAGTGCATCCATTTTATTTCTTTGGTTTTGTATAACATCTTTTTACTCTATACTTACTGTTTGCTGATTGGTTAATATTTCCCAAGGTCACTTGAGATTCGTTCAAAGGTCGTCCATAAATTATAGTCTCGCCAAGATTGGAATTGCTAGACGCTGCCACTACTACTGATGAGTTTTCAGTAGGATGAAACATTCATCATGAGTTTTATTATTACTCCTTTACAAACTATTTTTAGTAAAATTTATTAAAATTTAAAAAAACAGGTTTATGACTGAAATTTACCTTACTTTTTTTACACATAGTGATAAATGAGGATCATTTAGAATGGTTGATAATTGCATTGCATTGATTACATTTCTAATAAAACAATTTTGTATAGACTAGTAATTAACTTTCATTAAGATTATGTAATAGATTATTTGGAAAAGATGAAGAAAAACAACAACTTCAGTGTAATTTTGAAATCTTTCAATTATTTTTCATCATTAACAATGGTGTGTGTGTGTGTTAGAATTAGGGTAATTTGTGTAAATATATGCCAAGATAAATGGAATTATCAGTCTTGAGTTGTCAAGATTATTATGTCATTAGTAACTAGTTTCGTGAAGGAATTTTTCCAGAGTTCTGGTGAGAAGCCATCACCAGTGGGACGAATCCATGTCTGGAAGAGATAGGTTTCTGTCTCAGACGATGGAAGATAGTCAGGCGATTACGTGCATTGGTTGGTGCTAGACATTAACACCGTTCGATGTCGGCCGGCTCAGTGTTCCAGAAACTAAGCGTTCGCACACAAGACCGAAAGTCCTGGGTTCAAGCCCCTCTTGCAGGAGCTTGGATGAGCATTGCTGAAGAGTCCCATACTAAGACAAAACAGCCGTCCATTGGTTCCAGGTTTTCAATGGTAGCCCAGCTTAGACCGACTCATAATTTTAACTATTATTATTATTAAGTAAAGATGGATAATGGCTAGCTGTGAAATCCAGGGGGCACGTTTCGTACTATTTGGGACTCATCAGCAACATGTACCTGAATTTCAGAGTTGATGCTCACCTTGGGACTCGAAACCAGTACCGTTCTCTCCAAACGCCAACACGTTATCCACCGAGCTACTGAGTTCTCATAACCACCTCCTTGTGTAATGGGGTGAAGTTTAAATTCATTTGGTGTTGTTTTATTTGTATCTTCCTATTGTTATTTAGGAGTGCGATGGCATTTGAAGCGAACGGTACCCAGAGTGAACACCAAGTCTAAGATGTACGTGTATCCAGCTGACGAGTCCCAGGATAGGAAGAAACGCACATCAAACTGGATTCCACTGCTAGCCACTATCCATCATTACATATAAAAGGGTATGACTTGAGGCTATATTGAGGCAATCCGCACAGGACGCATATATACCATCATGAGACTGATTAATTACAGTCTTAAATAACAATGGAAGATCCATATAAAGCAATATTAAATGAATTTATTATAATAATTATTATCACTCTTTCGATGATCACATTAAGTGAATGAATATATTCCTTACTTACTAACTTACGCCTGTTACTCCTCGTGGACGAGCATAGGCCGCTCACCAGCATTCTCCATCCAACCCTGTCTTGGGCAATCCTTTCCAGTTCTTTCCACTTGTTATTCATCCCTTTCATATCTGCTTCTATTTCCCGACGTAATGCGTTCTTTGGCCTTCCACTTTTCCGCTACCCTTCAGGATTCCAAGTTTCGGCTTGCCTCGTGATGTAGTTTGATGATTTGCGTAATGTATGTCCTATCCATTTCCATCGTCTTTTCTTAATTTCTTCTTCAGCTGGAAGCTGTTTGGTTCTCTCCCACAGAATACATTCCACATACTATAAATACTTTAAATCGTATATCAGTTTACGTAAATCTAATTTGTTCCCTTTTTTCACAAAAAAAGAGAAGGAGAAAAAGACTGATAAACTGTATTCATATACATATTTTTCATATGTATCCTTTAGATAAACAGATGTTTTATTCTTCTTTTTTTTATATTTTTCTCTCTTTTTTTCTTTTTTAGAAAACTGAAATAAATTACCCATCCACACACACCCCCACACCCAAATACACAAAATAAGGGGGGGAAAACACTTTTACAGAAAAAAATAAACAAGAGGAAAAATTAATTTTCAACTATCAACAGGTATGATTATTTTAGATAAAAATTAGGAAATTTTTGAAAGCGATGAACATCTCATTATTATCTATCCTAGTTACAATATAGTTAATGAATACTTTCATAGGATTAGTGAAATGTTATTGAGTTCTAGTGAAATCAATTAGTAGTTTGATCGATCCCTTTCAAGGTTAAGGATAACCTCGCGCGTATCAGATAATTGTATGCTATGGTTTAACTTATGCGATAATATATTTTTGTAATAACGTCATTTGTATTGTACGGAGTAATTCACATCAGGTGCTGACTGTGAAGTGTGAAGTCCTGCGAAGTCCTCTTGTGACAATCACAGAGGAATCCGTTTGACTAATATAGTGTCTAAAATATTAGCCTCAATAATACTGCGACGCCTAACTAAAGCTCGTGAAGAGCAGACTAGAGAAAATCAGGCTGGTTTTCGACCTGGACGTGGTTGTATAGACCACATATTCACATTACGTCAGGTTCTAGAACACAGACACACATTCAGACGCCCCACAATGGTAGTATTTCTCGACCTTAAGGCGG